ACTTGTATGTTTTATACTCTACCACAATTCTCCCGTACAATTCCACCCACCATCTACACATTCAAATGAGCTACAAAACAAAGTATCTATTTTTCTTGGGTAGTAAAAGAAGTAAGCTAAAATAAGCAATATTTGAAAAATGGGGAAAATCTATTACTGATTTTCTTCCATTGGGTATGGAGTTTTATCTCTTGCTTGTATATTAAATATTTTCTATTACTTTGCTTGTATATTAAATATTTTCTATTACAAAATTAATACTAGTAACAGAAACAAATTTTCTGCAACTATAGTTTTGCTAGTAAATCCAAAAAAAAAAAAAAAAAAACAACAGATTGGGGACATGCTGAAGTAATACATACCTAACAGAGGAGACACATGACCTATCCGAGCTGGTGAAAGGAAAGCTGATTGAGAAATAAGAATGATTTGGGATCAGATATTTCGCAGTTTAGTTCTACTCACATTCAACAACAAAGTGGAATAAATGACTAAGAATTTGCTCATTCTCTGCTTTCACTTTGCTGTCCCTACAGAGTTCCCCGGAACGTTTGTTAGGTGGGAGTAGAATTTAGGATAATGGAGGTTGGTATTAGGAATGAGAATTTGTTGTTAGAAATTTATAAAAATAAGACCAATGTGATTTGGGAAGAGTTAACTATACAATCAACTCTCTGAACTTATACTAAAGTTGTAATTTACTCACTCAACTTATAAAAGTTGCAACTCACTTAAATCAAATATGACCAACAATAACAAGTTAATTTTATGAACTTTCTAAATTTTATGACATAAAAGTTTGCAATTCCCAAAAATTTGGCTTTACTGATGCTAACTATACAGGTGATTTGGTTAATAGAAAAAGCACTTCAGGTATGGTACAGTTTTTAGGACCTTGCTTAGTTTTTTGGGGTTCCAAGAAGCAAAACACAGTTGCATTATCTACAGCTGAAGCTGAGTATGTGGCAGCAACAGCATGTTGCTCACAAGTTCTATGAATAAAGCAACAGGTTAGAGATTTTGGAATTATATTTGAACGTGTTCCTATTTACTGTGATATATAATTCCAGTGCTATATGTATTTCTAAAGGTCCAGTTCAACACTCAAAGGTAAAACACATCCACATTAGGCATCACTTCCTAAAAGACAATGTGGAGCAAGGGAATATTAAGTTAGAATTTTGTCAAACTAAAAATCAAATTGCAGATATTCTAACAAAATCCTTGAACCGAGAAAGATTTGAGAAATTGAGACTGGAACTTGGGATGATCAAGCTGAATTGATTGCGTTTGAAGTTCCAAGATATGGAAAAGTCAAAAATAATGTAAATAGAGCAAAAAGAGCATTTAGCACAATCTTGGTGTGCTAAACATAGCTGAAGTGTCACCATTGTTGATCATTAGAGGTTAGTTCACTATACACTTAATTTCGTAAGTAATTAGTAATGTACATTGCATGTGTGTAGAAAGTGTGTTCCAAATTACATGTTTTATTTTCAGAAATTTTTTTTGGAAATTAAATGAATTTAGAAAGAAAAAGATTTTCGGCAAAACATCCTGTTTAAATGAATTTGGAAAGTAAATTGAACTTGTTCAATTAATGACTGAAAACCTCTTAACTTCCTCACACCGTTTCATTTAATATATAAAGCATCTTCACCCACCTTACATCATCACTATCAAATCAAATTTACCCACTGTGAAAAATTTCTACAATCTTCCTAAAACCCTCAAGAGATAACCATGGCCATCATTACTTCCATCAGCTCTACTGAAAACTCTCAAAACACCTATCACCCTGAACAGGAAGAGGTCTCTTTTACTTCCGATAGTAGCCTTCAAAGAAACACAAGCCGAACCCACCTCATCCTCTAACTTGCAAAACCCTAAGCCCGCTGAAACATAGGACTTAAACTCTGAGTCAATTCTTCAAAAATTGAAAGAGTACTGGAAAGAGATGAAAGAGAAGTGAAAGACAGTTGAAGAACACATCAAGGAGGTTGAGGATTTTGTTCAAAAATTGGAGGATCCCTAGAAAGAAAATTCTGAGAAGGAGGACGATGAGGAAATCGCTGATCAAGCTGAACTTGAGTCACAAGCAGGGAGGTATATATGTTGTCGGTCATCGAATTGATTTATCTTGGTGTAGAAAAGCTAGCTAGGTTCCTAGAATTTCTTGATTTGATTAAGTTCCAAGGCTGGGAATATTTGTTGTCCAAAGCGTTTGATAATTACATGTATCCAATTGCTATGACCGAGTTTTGTCAAAATTTTCAAGCAAAGTTGGGAGTAATTTCTAGTGAAATTGATGGGGTAAAAATTGAGTTTAATGTTGAAACCCTAGGCAAAATTCTGAAAAACTCCAATTGAGGGGTATGAGACTTACATTAAGGGTAAGTCAAGTGTTAAGGTAGGAAATTACCTGAGTGGTGACATTGTAGAAGCTTTAGGAGGAAAAAGGGGGAAGACTACAATGAGTCATAATGACCTAAGCCCTATGAACAAGTTATTGTTCAACCTTGTCAAGAAAACCATTCTACCTAGAACTGCAAAGAAAAGGGAAGCATGTCTAATGAACATGGCTGTGATATTCTGTCTATCTAGGAAGATGAAGGTCAATTTTCCTGCACTTATGTACCAGCATTTAGCACATTATTGTGTCCCTGGATAGACTAAGGTGGGATATGGAGCTATTTTGTCTACAGTCTTTGAGAGTCTTAGAGTGGTTTTAAAAGGGAATTATGGGGGCTTAGATGAGAAGCCTGAAAATGTAATCAGTGAAGAAACTAGAAGGATTCAGAAGTTGGAGAAGTCTGTGCAGGGGCAAGACAAACTTCTAAAGGAACAAAAGCTAGAGTTCTAGTAGAAGATTAAGAGTCTTGAGGACAGACTGGATGCTTTTGCTGCACATCAGAGGGAAGACAACAAACAGATTCTGGAGTTCCCGAAGAATTAACCCAGCAAACCTGCCTTACCAGCCTTCCTAATTAGTCTAGCCTTTTCTTATTTTCACAGTTTCAGTTTATGTTTTTGAACAATATATTTTGGTCTGTAATAATTTTTAACTAGCCGGATGTTAATCTCTTGGTTTTTAATGAATGCTTTTGGAACTTTGCCTATGCATACATGTTTGTGTATATTATAAAATCTAAAGCAGGAAAGTGGAACTAACTTAAGGGAAGTTAGCAGCGCTGCCTTTAGTTTCCCACACTCGATGAATTGCTTGTGGGGTTGTGGCTAGATGCTTAATACCTTGAAAAAGCAGGACTTTTTTATGATGTCAAAAGGGGGAAAAGAAGAAGCAAACTTGGAGGCTGAAGTTTTTCTGGGTTCCATTTGAGAAAGTATCAGAAATTTCTTCTGATATGATGCCGATAACTTAGTTTCATTTTCTGTTCAGTCTATTCTTGTTTTTCTTGTTTTTGTTTTTAATTTCAGTTGTGTGTTTTACTTTATGTTAATAAACAAAAAATCCAAAAATACGTCCTTCTATTGGTTTTAACTTTTCAAAGGAGTTTGCTTAAAATTGTCATCATCAAAAAGGGGGAAATTGTTGAAGCTTAAAGTAAGGTTTTGGTGATGATGAACTTAAACTAAAGCAAACTCAACTCATAAAGGTGTATTAGTGTTTGATTAGTACAGGTGAAGTAGACTTTGGTGGTGGAAGAGTAACCTAAGCTAAGAAGACATGAAGAGGCCTTTGAAGAAAATTTAGTCAAAATAGAAGAGAAGTTCTCTAACAAGAACTAAGTTCCTTAACAGGAATGTTCCCTAACAGGAACTTGGAGATAGCAAGCTGAAGACAGTAAGTTCTAGAAAGGACTTAGTCTGCGAAGTTCCAGTTGAAGACTGGAGCATAAGTGACAACAGGAACTTAGTGTCCTGGTCTGCGTGAAGCCCAAGTAGTCCACATTTACAGAAACACGGCACAACAATATTTATTTAGTTAAGATTTTATCTTCTAGATTTATTGTTAAATATGTTTAGTAGATATACATGAAACCTATTAGAAGCGTGACAAGTTGCTTGGCAAATCTAATTAAAAAGGAAAAGATAAAAGATAGATTTTAAGTAAAGATTTTCTAATTGATTTTATTTCTTAAAATCCGTTTAACAAAAAGATATCATTCTTTTTGTTAAATCTTTCTTTATCTTATTTTTCCGAAAAGATTTTATTCAAAATGATTTACATAAAACTATGTTTTGTGATTTAGTTAAATTAACTTATTTATCTTTTGAAAAACCCTACTTGCCATATGAGTTAATCTTGTATAAATTGTAGTGATCACATTTCATAAGGTTTTTATGATTTTATGCGTGAAGAAATCTCATAGCTTAATTTGTGTAAGTTTGCCAAGCTTTTAATCTTGTCATATTAGTTTCGAGTTTTGTGCATTATTGCTTGCCTAACATATTCTAGGTGTTCTATATTCTGTATTGGTTGGGTTATTGGGTGTGTGTGTGTGAAATTTATATTGCATACAGGTGTGTGAGCTTTGAGGGAAAAGTTGTGAAGTATTACTGTAGTAGTACGAGTGAATCCAAGTGTGGAACTTAGGTTGGGTAGGATATGGTCCTATCGTGTAGCAAGTTCAATTTAGAACTTGTGAGTAAAGGTTTGTTTTATAATAGGATTATAACTTGGTGTTTGCCCTATTATAGTGAATTGATTTGGTTTGGAAATCCATTATAAGGGTCTAGGTTTTACTTCCAGTTAAGCCCTGGAAGGTTTCCTCGTAAAATCTTGTGTGCATTGCAAAGTTCCTTATATTCTGTTTTATATTTAACAAAAAGTAGTCACTAGGAACTCACCTACAATTCACTCCCCTTTTGTAGTGTTCGTTTCAACTAACAAAATGTTAATTTAGTTTTTTGCCTTTTAAAATATGGTACATCAAATAAACAGAGTATGCTTTCATCTCCTTCAATGGGGCTCACAACCAGGCTCCAATGGAGACATCTAATGGAAGAAGACAACACTTCTACCATTAAGGGTTAACCATGCCATTCATTTCTCTTTTTGTTCTTAGGGTTTTGGTTTGATTTGGCGGCGAAGCCGCCGAAAATGGTTACGGAGGGTGAAGACGATGACAAGGAAGAAGATGATGCAAGAAGGAAGGAGATGAAGATGATGGCAACGGAGAAGAAGATGACGATAATGAATTGCAGATCTGAAAACGTCTATTTTAACGACAAATTTAGCTTTTTGTTTAAAAAATTAAATAATACACGTGGCTTGCAAATAGATGAAGTAGGGTGGTGAGAGAAACATTCTTGTTTTTCACGGAGAGTAACCTAGCAGACCCTATTTAAAGTTCAAACATGTACTCCTAAGGGCCTGTTTTCATTGACTGAACTCAGTTGAGCTAAACTGAAATGAATATTTTATAAGAGAAGGAAATTATGAGCTGAACTGAACTGAGCTGATATGAATTGAATTGAATTTCAACGCATGAGAACATGCCCTAAATTCGGATGTTGCTAACGAACACCTTGAGACGTCAGTTAACAATAAATTAATAAAGTGTAATTACTACGGAGTTTTTATTTCAATTTAGTATTTCCACCTTTTTGCCTTTAAACATCTGTTCATCCTTTGCAACAACTACTTATAGCCAAGTCGAAGCTCCAAAGCGCCAAACAGTCAAACACCGCACTCATTCATTCGAACATTCAAGTAAGAAGACTAAGAACTCAATAAAAAATGGCCTCCAACGATCATCCACGCCAAATCATTCGCAATTTTATTCCTATACAAGTTTGTAAGGTACCACCTCATTCCCTTTTCTTCAATTCCCTTCAATTTTTTTCACAAAATTTACACAAAATACTTGAAATTGATAATTGTAGGAGCTGGAATTCATTCACAAGAGCAATTGTACAGTTGGGTATAGACCAAATGTCTTCTCTACTACTCTCTCTCATCTTATTGCCACAAATTGTGCCCATCTTATTATGCCTTTCATCCCAATTCGAGGTTTTGATATGTTCCCAGATTTTGTTTCTATTTAATTTGCCCCTTTTTTGTGTATTTGATTGATGGGTTTTCTTTGTTATTGTTTATTTTGCAGAGAAATTGAAGGAAAAGGTTGAGGAAGTGTTTGATTGTGAGTATGAGTTATTTATTGAATTCACTGGTTTGATTAGGTGAGCTATTTACTAGCATTTTTGAGTGGTCTTGTAATTTTCATGAAGTATCAATTTTAATTTGTTGGCTTACATTTTTTTCCCCCTTCTGTAAGTTATATATTGGATGATTGGTATATTGGTATGGATTGAGTTCAAATGGGAGTAGGTATTCGTTTATATTTTACTGTTTGATTGAATGTTTGGAAAAGGAATAAGGTTTGTATGTTGGTCATTCTGCGCTTTCCTGGGGTGGAACTGTGGAAGGAATTTGCACCGGCTTGAGCATTTGAATTAAGAATTGAATCTTGATAATTTGTTTTTGTTTTCTTCGTTGTTGTGTGGACTTGGCAGCCATTCCTTGGCGCACTAGTATGTTCATTCACAGAATTGTAGGCCTAAAGCAAACCAACACTATTTCCCCGAATTGTGGTTAAAGTTTGTCTCAAGGGTTTTGATGTGAGAGTTTCATCCATTGACTATTAAATTCTTTGATATGGGAACTCAATTTTGTAGTTTTGTAAACTTGATGTAATTTATCTTCAATGAGTGGAATTTTGTAAACATATACATGTATGACTTATTTGATCAAATTGAATCATCCCAAAATTTTGTCTTGACTTTACACGTACTTCCTCAAGTTTTTTTTTTTTTTTTTTTTGTACATCTGCAAAACTCCAATCTTCAGCTAATTAGGAACTTATTATAATTAGAGATACTAATCAGTAATCCCTACACATTCATTCCATCTTAACTAAACAAATTTAACATGGTATGGCCTGTGGAAATCCCAATCCATTTCAATCTATTTTGTTTAACCAAATGAACACTTAGCATTCTATGCTTCTAATAAATTTATTTATTGAGAAATAAATTTGTTAATTCTGAAATCATTTCTAATAACAGAAGCTCAAGCAAGATGTAATTAGCTAATCTTGTTTCTTCTCCATCCTTATATGTCAGTCAATATCATTTTAATGTTGAGAAAACAGTTATAACTTTTCCTAGATTATTTTTTTCTTTCTTTTTTTTTTATTTTTATTTTTTATTTTTTATGAGCATCTTTTCTTAGTATAAGTAATGAAACTCTTGTATGCCAGCTGGAATAAAGGAGCAAGTATTGGGTGGCATAGTGATGATAACAGAGCTTATCTCGAACAACGTGACTATACGGTGTGTTTGCAATCCTTTGTTTCTTGATAATTGCTTGTTTTGAGTTGCTATCTACATTGTATTTTTGAAGTTGATCTGCATGATACCTGCCATCTGGGAAATTTTGTTAGACATTTTTAAACTCATCCATACCCTAGTCTTGGTGGGAATGTGCGTTTGTCTGACAAAATTGGCTAGCAGTTCTTAGATTATCACTTATCAGTCATGAGTGAATCTGCTGCAGCACTGAACTCCAATTCAGTCATGCATCATTTTGTATTATATATGTAGAAACTAAGGAGAGGGTGTGCAGGTTCAATTCTTATAAACAGTTTCCCCAATTTTCTGCTGATCTTTTTATCCCCTTCCAATAGGTTAGTCTGGTTCCGTTACTGTTAAGATGTTTCCCCATTTAATATATGTTTATCAAGAGTTAGTGACACAATACTTCATTTCTATGAAGGCAGTCTGCTATTTAAACAGCTACGGGCAGGATTTTAGTGGTGGCGTGTTTCACTTTCAGGATGGGGAGCCAACAAATTATTTGCCAATGGCTGGGGTAAGCCAATCTGCATGATTGCTTTATATTAAATTAATTTTGAGTGCTGGTGCATCAAGGTTTTGATATCAATCTGCTTCCACTGTCAGTATCTATAGCCATTATACTTGTGATTATTTTTATCGAATCTTGGAAAATGTCTCTCAGAGTCTCAGTCTTGCTTCCAGTAAACTGTTCGTGTATTTGGCTTCCTAAAGTACTCTATCTTGACATCTGATTGATGTTTCTTTCAGGATCTAGTCGTTTACTCTGCTGACAACCGCAACATACATTGTGTTGATGAGGTATATAAGTATAAAATCTGATGTAGACATTTAGTATATGCATAAGCACAACCATAATTAGTTTTCTGAAATTTTCGAGTTTTCAATCCTATTATCCTCGGAAATTTCTCTATAGGCCACAAATGTTTTATGCCTTACTGTTCGGGTAGCCTTACTGCGCAAGCATTTGCTAACCTTTTCACTTTTTCAGTAAGACCAATTTCATTTTCTTGTTTCATCTGTAATTCAAGGCTTAGATGAAAATCACCCTATTACTAATATTTAGGCATATATTGAGTGGCAGATATTTTGGGATCAATTGTATTCCAAACTTTTGAACACTGTATCCAAGAAATAAGGGTAATTTTTTTCTTGAACTCTGCACATTGTGTGATTACTTGATCGCCAATGGCATTGCTTCAAGATTTACGTGGAAGCCACCATGTAACTAAAATGTACTCCTATCAACATTTAATATTCATGTATTCTTATTTAGGATGTACACAACATTTTCCGGTTACTTTATTCAGAAATCTTTTTTGCTCAACCCACGTGAAGTGGACCCCTCCGCTACTTCTTTATCTCACACTCTCATCCTACCCTACTAAAATTCTTAATATGCCTGTAAAAGCGTAATAGGAAGATTTTTCATGGATGTAGAAAATATGTATCATTCCAAATATTACACACTGCATCTTTGCATCACGATCTGATTAGACATGGCACTTGGATAAAACTGGTTCACTTGGTTTTAGTCAGGGCAGACTTTGAAAAGCTAAGTCCACATCCCTGGGAAGGGGGGTATAATTGGTTGTTTTATGGGGAAGCTAACTCTGATTCTTCCATAACTTCTTTTAATAACATTATCTGAATGATATACCTAAATAATATTATACCTAAATAATATTACCAAAAAGTTATATACAAGTATGAAGTATCTCAATTATGAATTGTTTCCCAAATCACTCCCAACATACTGCCCATCTAGGGTATGGTAGGACTTGCATTTTTATTTTATTTTTTTACATCATAAATCCAGTATACCATTAGTTATTTTTTTGGTAACATTATTTTGAGGAAATGATTATCATTGTTTTCCACTCAATTAAGCTAAAAATCAAAGTAAAATGTACTTGTTGATCCTCTGTCCTCTTGTACATTTCACATCCTTTCTACTGACTTGATCTCTTCCCTCATTCCCTGTCTCTTTGCTTTTAATACTCTTCTTTGTATTATTCACACTTAAGTCTTCCCTTTGCTGTGAAGCCTTTACCATAACGTCTATCTATTCAAATTTTTATACTCCGCGTTACTATTGATGCTATGAGACTTAGTGTTAAAATCAGATCTTGTCTCTGTAACAAGTCGGTAAGATCACCCTCAGATGCATGATTATTTGACTTGAATGAGTAACCAGACTATGAGAACCATTATGGTTTCCTCTTCAGAAAAAATTATTAATGTTGATTTTATAGGGTGGGCATTAAACCAACGATGTTGTATGGGCAGGAATGTGTGTATCTACTGATCTAGGAAGGGTTGTTTTAGAAAAAAGGGAGTTGCAATGCATGTTGAGATGGTTTGGGCAGGTAAGACGGAGACCAAAAGATGGGAAGTAGAGAGTTGGGAGCATGAAGATCTTAGAAGAAGTCGAGACATACCAAAGATGACTTGGATGGAGGGATCGGAGTTAGGAATGATACGAATAAATGAGATTACAGAAGCAGATAGCACTTGAAAGAAGGGCATGGAGAGAGAGAGGTCTTGGCTGACAACCGCAAGAGATAAATTCTTGGTTTATGCAGCCGACCTCACCATTGGGTTTCTAGATTTGATAATGTTGTTGTGTAGATGTGTGTATTCTTGGGGTGGGGTGGCTGTGGTTTTGGTTACTGGTTGGTGGTGGATGAAGATTAGTTTGTTTAACTTCATACCCTGCACTTCTGGATTTAGAAAGTGATGATCTTTTTCATCTTTCTAGAACCCTTCAACGTTTCCCTCTTATTCCTTGGGATCTTATCTGTATTTTGATTTGAATATTGCTTGGGTGTATGACAAAAGGCTTTATTGCAGATAAGTGATGGAGAACGACTTACATTAACACTCTGGTTCAGCCGCAATAGTTCATTTGACGAAGATGCTAAACTCGTTTCACTCTTGACTCAGAGCATATTAGATAACGAGCCTGCTCCATGCGTTCCCTTACCGGCACCTAGCAATATGTATTGGTTTTCTTTAGACCGGGGCTCAGGTCATCAACAAGGCTATGACATATGCTTTGCAAGATTATTCATTTTGGGATTTAATATCTATACCACTCAAGGAAGGATTTGTATTCCAGAAAAGCATAAGCTAGAGAGCTCTGATGTACTCATGAAACCATTGAAGCTGGTTAGGGGAGACAGCTTATATTGCCAAGAATTTGCCAACCTGTTGCATGCCCTCCAGGTAACTTTTTCCACTCAATCCGAAATATATATGTTTGTACTGAAATGAAATGTAATTAAGATTTGACATGACTACACAGTAACACAGTTTGACTTAAGGTATGAAGTTTTAGCATTCTTTGGGTAGTGAGAGGGAGATGGTGGATGGTCCTTTACGCGCTATTTTGGGTCTTTGATAATAGTGGAGCTTTGGCAGTTTAGGGTTTGATGGCTTCTATATACAGGAATTTTTTTTTTTTTTTTTTTTTTTTTTTAAATTATTTTTTACGATCTTGCAATATAGCGGGTAGTTAACTTAGGCCTATTCACATTTACTTCAGTTCAGTACAGCTCCAATAAGTTCAGTTCAGTTCAACTCCTAATTTCCTTCTCTCATAAAATATTCTATTCAGCTCATTTTAGTTTAGTTTAGTTTAGTTCAGTTCGGTTCAGCTTCAATCAGTTTAGTTCAGTGTAAATATAGGGCTTGTATTTGTTGAGATGCTTTTGTTGTTGAGCCCCCACAAATGATTCTTTAGGGTATTTAATTCTGCATCACAAATGCCTCGGTGTGTCACCATAATTTTAAACTCCATAAATTGTGGCATTGATTGTTAATTTGTTTGTTGATTATCCTCTATTTTACATGTTATATGTACCTCTTCATAAGCCCGATGCCTATGGTTCCTGAATTCAATACACTTTGATTGACTTTATATGCTTTTCTTTGCTGTATCTAAACAGGCTGTACAATTTTATGTCTGGAAACAGCCTACCCTGCAACAATCAGAAGTTACCATGGATACGAGTGATATTGTAATATTATCTGCAGAACAAAAGGAGATCGTTCATGAGCTAAGATCTGTTTTCTTGAGCACTAAGACAACATTTTGTGATTCATATCCTGCCGTGAGCAGGGAATTTCATTTTGATTGGGCTTGCTTTTTTGCTGCTATAGAATCATGGAAAGAATACACATTCGAGTTGCATAAGCAATTACTAATACATTTACCTCTCTGGCAAGACTATCGATCTTTATTTTCTATATCCTCTTCAGTTGTTGAGAAATGAATGTAAATGTCAAATTTCTAGTGCTATAACAGAGTCGAGTTTTCTTGTTTCATGTTTCGGTTATTTCTCTCTTGCTGATGGATCTCCGTTTTTTATATGTACACTTATATACTCATCTTCTTTTGTTTTGACTTCCACCCAGAAGCTTTGCGTTCTTCTTGAACTTTAGGGTATATGCCTAATTTTCCAAGAGCAATGTGTATATAGAAGCTGAATAATCTTTTTCATATTCACTCTCTTTCTCACCTACACTCACTTTTTTAGTTTTGTAAGATTTTTTTTTTTTTTTTTTATTCTTTAATTAACCACTTCCATCATATTTTATTACTGACAACAAAGTACTATTTCTCCAAAACTCCGCGCAAATAGAAATAGTGCAAATGTAAAATACGGAGGGAGTACAACAATTAACAAGTCTTAAGTCAATCCTCAAAAATACAGAGTGTTGAGTAATTAAGTTTTGATGATAGTAAACTAATGATGATTATCTATCTAACGTGTTTGTTAAGTTGTGCATAGAAAGAACAAGTTATCTTTGGAACAGAATATAAGGAACTTGAGCAATATAGGATAAGCAATATAGGAACAAAGCATGATGATGGCTAAGGAACCATGAACGTAACTATGTAAATATGTATGTGTTTTCATATGTAAGTTTCATAAGGTAAGTATCCTATACATATATAGGTCATGTATATGTAAGAGTCTTTTAATTTAGTTTAGTTTTTGTTTCGGGTGAAAACAATGGGACCTTGTCGAAGGTCCAATGAAGCGGATGAAGATTGATTCGGTCCAAGGAATGTTGGGCCGAAGGTTTACTGCACAGCAAACACACGTAAACTGGCATCGGGGGTGGTTCCGAGAAAGACCCCTCCGATACCGAAGTCAAATATTGTTTAGAGAGAGAAAGCTATGCAAGAGAGTTAATGTTTGAGGCTTTAATGTGAATGAATGATAAATGATATAATTAAAGGCTTTTATACCTTAGCTTGGCAAGGAGAATGAGACGGGCTGGACCAGTGATACAGGGAACGCGGGACGTTGAGGCGAATCGCGATATGAGTCGTTCGTACCGAATCGCGGAACGAACGCGACCCAAATCGCTAGGGTTCGCGACTCAGTTCGTAGTCGAAGCGTTCCCTTTTTCTTCTTCAGCAAGGTCGAATTTCTGAGTCAATAGCGGCAAAAAATGAAGGTTTACAGTGTTTGATACTTTGATAATAGCGAGTTCACGAGATTGAAGATGATACAACTGTTCGCTCTCTATATTGAAGATGATACAGCTGCTATAAAGTTGAAACGCCCAGAAAAAGCTTGAATTCGTGAGTGGTGGTTGGATTTTTGTGGCAGAATCCATCGTTTCCGGCGTATAGCAACCGCGCGTGATAGATAAATAGAGAGCGAAGATGAAAGTGAAAAACTGAGGGCTTGAGCTGATAAGAACGATGCAATTTTTAAGTGGGACAGCTGTTATTAATTAAAAGGAGGTGGACACCTGTGTGGATACTCTCCACTTTAGTTTTATTAAATAATATATTTGACTTATTGACAACACATCCTCTCCTTTTTACTTTTATTTTTTTCTTCAGAATTGTTACTCCACTATATAATTACTATGAACTCCATACTATACTACTATACAACTTTTTATTTAATGATAAATTTAATCTAAGTATATTGAATAACAAAAAATCTATTTAAAAATACAAATAAATTATCTAAAAATATTTTTTCTTAAATAACTCTAAAATAAAAATTCTACCGCGATGACCACAACATTGTCCGCAATCAACGCATCATTTCCGATACCGTGACACTGCATTTTTATTCTATGATTACGCATAGACAAAACTTCTTTTTGAACTTCTTACTATATTGGGGCCCTCAATATAGGAAATAGGAATATATATTCATATAAAGTTATTATTTACACCTTTTTTTAGTTTACTAAGTTTTTACTATGTCATTTTTTTTGTGCTAAACTTTACTAATGTCATTAGTCTCTAAGTCTCATACTAATAGCTTATTGGGAACTTGAAGTCTTGAAAACTGAAAAGGACAACTTGCAAGTGATTAATGTTTTAACTATTTTTTACGGGACTTTGGCAGCAAAGATGCTAAGTTTATATGAGATTATGAGTTACCAAGTGATTAGTCTAACAAATAATATAATAATTACAAAATATAATTATATAAACTACGAATAATGGATAAAAAAGAATACTAATTTAATTTAAACGTATACATAGTAATTTGAATAAACGATAAAAAATAATATGATCGTATTATAGAGGGCTAAGAGACAAGAATTCCACTTAACCCCGACTATGATTGACCGGTCAAAAAAAAATTTATAAGATAACACGTAAATTAGAGTGTACATACTATGATTGCGTTTACGTTTAATGACCATAATCTGAATAATAATAGGATCATGCTATAGATTGATCAAAAAGGATTAGATCGTATATACTATGATACATTTTATAAATCGTACATAATACGATCATGGTACGAATGATCAATCAAAAAGGGATTGGATGATATATACGTTATATCATAATATGACTAATTGATCAACTTAACTAGGATATGATCCTACACTATGATACATTAAATATTTGTACGTAATAGGATCATGGTAAGAATGATCGATAAAAAAGGATTAGATAAATTGGATCACATATAGGTTATATCATACTATGACTAATCGATCAACTAGGATATGATCCTACACTATGTTACCTTATATAATTGTACGTAATAGGATCATGGTAAGAATGATCGATTAAAAAGGATTAGATAAATTGGATCACATATAGGTTATATCATACTATGACTAATTGATCAACTAGGATATGATCCTACACTATGATACCTTATATAGTTGTACGTAATAGGATCATGGTAAGAATGATCGATAAAAAAAGATTAGATTATATACATTATATATTGTACGTAATTGGTTTGCTCGTTCCAATTCGCGGTTTGATTATAATTTATACGATCATACATAATATGTACTGGAGATAGTAGATCGGTTGCAAACATGATCATACGACACATAAATTGGATTGTTCATTTTTTGATAAAAATATCAAAAAATGTGAATGATACACCTATAATACTAGGGGAAAAAAAACAAAAAAGAAATAAGAAGAAATAGGAAGAGGCGCATTCAATTAATGAATTCATTCTGATCTTCTTTCCCAAAGGCCAAAGCATTCTTTTCATTTATTGTAGAGCTTGAAGTTCAAACGACATCCAAACTCCATCTTCCCAAATTCTACAATTCTATAAATTCAATGTATACTTTAGTATACAAAACACATCTCTATTCCTACGGTTCCAACCAATCATTATTATCAAAAAAATTAGGTACAAAAAATGGCATTTGGCAAAAATAGATCCAAACAAAGAGTTTCCATTGAAACTTCACAAAGAAATCAACCACAAAATCAACCTTCACCTGAAGAGTACAATGATTTGGAAACTGAAATTCCTCAAGGGGAAGAGGTGTTAGATACAGAATATCAACCAAATCAACGAGTTTCTTCCGAGATTAAGCAAAAACCTCTATTAGCTGAAATTACACCAATTCAGTGAGAGAAAGGGAAAAATGCTGGAGGAACGAAAAGGTGATCTTGCAACCATTGCAAGAAAACATACAGCAGCTCATACACAAGAGTACATCAACATTTTTTTGGTGCTCAAGTTGGGAAAAAACCAGAGATTGGTCGATGTACTGTGATGCTATCAAATAGAGTACTACTTCAAAGCATAACAAAGAAAGTTGAGGAGGCTGAGTTGACAGGTATCTCCCCATCATTATCTAAATCTACTATAAAAAATAAAGTTCGGCCGGGAACTAATAAAACTCCCATAGAAGATGCGTTTGGTATGGTTGAACGTATTGAGGTTGACAAAGCAATAGTTCGTTTTCTTTGTGCTAATGGAATTCCATTCAATGTACTAAGAAGTCCAAAATTTTCTTATATGACAAAAGCCTTGACTCATGCTCCCAAGGACTACAAGCCTCTATCGGCTGATAGAGCTAGAACATCCTTACTTGATGAAGTCAAGCGGGATGTGGAGAAGGAATTAGCTCCAATTAAAGACGCTTGGGCTACACAAGGAACTTCAGTCATTTTAGATGGATGGACAAATGTGAAGCGTGAACCACTAACTAACGTGGTTGCATCCAATAGTCGTGGTTCTATGTTTCTATACGCGGACGACTTCACGGGGTTGGAAAAAACAGGAAAGGCCATAGCTGAATATCTACTTACTGCAATTGAAGAAGTTGGGCCGTCAAATGTCTTGCAAGTTATCACTGACAATGCAGCTAATTGCACATTTTTTGGTCCCCTTGTGTGGTGCATACACTCAATCTTATTTTTAAAGACATTGCTACTGCTTTTCCATGGGTTAGTGAAACTTATGTTAAAGGGAAAAATATTGTGAAGTATTTTTTAAATCATACTCATGCTCATGCCATTTTTAAATCACAATCTGGACTGGAATTACTGAAAGTAGCAAAAACTAGGTTTGCTTCTCATTATTTGTTGTTGAAAATACTACCACAATGTAGAGAATCATTAGCAACTACTATAGTCATGCGGGCTTGGAAAGATTGGATTACTTCGGGGGATGAAAAAACAAGAGCGTTAGGGAAAGAAGTTGCTGCCACTATTAGTGATGAAGGTTTTTTGGAGGAAGTTGATAATATTTTGGCAATCACAAAACCAATTTATTTGATGATTAAATTTGCTGATGGTGAAGGGCAAAAGATGGGTGAGGTTTATGAAAAGATGGATTGTATGATTAGGGAGATAGGAGATGTAATGAAAGAAAACAAGCATAAAGATGACAGTGACAAAATGAGTGAGATCATGTTATCAAGATGGGAAAAAAATGAACATTCCCATGCATTGCTTAGGATTTGCACTAAACCCTTTTCTTTATGATGCAAAGTACTTGGAAACTCTGGCTCCGGGAGGGGAGGCTAGGAGAGCACCAAATTTTGACAGAGAAGTTGTTGATGGTGTTTTAAAGGCATTTGATAAAATAGGGGAGAGTGAAGAAGAAAAAAGACTACTCCTTGAACAGTTGGCTAAATTCCAAGCTAAGGAAGGTATTTTTGGGTCACTTGCTGCCAAAATTGATGCTGTAACAATGTCTCCTATTTCTTGGTGGTCCACTTATGGAACGGAGGCACCCGAATTAGCTGAAATTGCCATTAAAGTTTTGTCACAGCCCATTAGTAGTTCTTCTGCAGAGAGGGTTGTGGAGCACATACTCATTTATTCACAATGGGCTGTGACAAGTTGGTTTTATTCACTGCAATATTAGGCTAATTTCTCGTTTTACAAGCTACTACAAAGAAGGTCCTTTTAGAAAATGGGACATTAATCCAGAGACTTCAATTCTAGAAAGTTTAACACTTGGACTTGAGAAAATGAGGTGGACAGATGACTTAGATGAGCAACCTAATAACACACCAGTGACATTTTCTTGTAAAAGGCAGCGATATGCAGATTGATAACTTCTAAAGTTTGGGGCTTATTTTGCTTTGATGATATGTGTTGGATTGCTTATTGTAATAGAAGTTATTGAACCTTTTTTGCTTGGGTTTGTTATTTGTTTTAAGTTTTGAACTTTTGATCATGTACTCATGTTTGATGGCTTGATGCATATGAAATATGAATGTTTTTTGGATGAAATGAAAATCAATGTTTTAATTTCAAATTAATTTTTAGTTTTTTTTTTTCAGATTATTATATATATATATATATATATATATATATATTAAACTACACCCAACGTTCCCGATTCACTCAATGTAGCGTTTCCCGTTTCCGTTACCGTCCCGCGTTTCGTATCGAATTTCGTTCCTTGTATCATTGGGCTGGACATCATCATGGGCTGACCATGACAATTTGGGCCGCTGACTTTATATTGACTTGGCAAAGTGGAGGCTTAGGCCTTGACCGTGGCATAGATTGAATCATTTAATGACCAAGCCCAATTGGCATAATTGGACCCAAACAACTTGCCCCCCAGACCCGATTTGGAAGGATGACAGGTCGGGTTTGACTTTAATAAAAATGGAGGGAAGTAAATGATTTCATTAAATCAAAAGAATTAAAAATTTTAAACAGTCATTAACTAAATATCTGTAATTAGGATAATGAGCAGGAAGTTGAGTGGATAATGGGTGGTTAATTAAGGGAGAGAGTGTTTAACGGTTACTTAAGGAGGTATTTAAGAGAAATGAAGCATTCTGACTCTCAAAATTCCAATTTTCTGGAAATATAAAACCAAATTCGCTCTTCTCTCCTCATTTCTTCACCAATTCACTCTCGAACTCCCTGAAAAACTACGTTTTTCCGCTTTAAAACTTCGCTTCACCCCCGAATTCAAAGCTTGACATTTGAACCCGTTGCTCCGACTGACTGAATCGGCGAGTTTCGATTCGTATAAAGGTAAATTTCTTCGAATTTCCCTTGATTTTCTTAGTTTTTTGAAAGAATTCCCTTTTTCCCGACTTCCTTTCTTACGAACTCAACAATGGCTCGAGGAAGAGGACACCGGACTGGACGACGGGGTCAGGCCAGGGACCCAAGGGACCACGCCGACGTATGGAACGAGGAACAAGTGCGGGAAGACCCAGAGAGGGGTATTCCGGCCGTCCCCTTGAACGCTGCTGCCCCCAGCAAGGCGCCGAGGCTGGCGACGCTGAACAGGAGGAAGTTATGCCTGCCGTGCTCTAGAATTTGCTCCCTGGGCACACTGAGTGGCAAAATGCCAAACCCTTGAGAGCCATGAGGAAAAACGCACCATACTATTGGTGGGTTAGGCATGCCGAATCCTATCGGTTTGCCGAACAGATAGAGTTGCACTACGACATCTTTGAAGAAGATGGGTACTGGTGCCGAATGCTCGCGCCAACTGATAGAATTCATCGTCCTCCCTCTGGGTATGTGGGGGTATACACTCGACAATTGCAATACAGGCTTCGGTTCCCCTTAGATCCCTTCGTCAGGGACATTTTGATAAAGTACAGGATTTCCCTGTGCCAGTTGACGTCTGTCAGTATTCGGCGGGTGATGACCTATCTCTCGGTGTGTTGGTTTTTTACTGTTGAGCCGAGTTTACACTGCTTCCGAAAGATGCACAAGATGGTGCAGAACACCCAAAGCCAATATGGTCAGCACGGGCCTGGTTGGTGGCGAATTGGGAGCCACCCACAATATTTGACCATGTGGCCGAACGATTTTTCGGACAAGGATTGACGAGGCTAATGGATCTGGGTAAGGGCTCTAGCAGATACAGAGCACCCCCACTTGGGTCCCGAAGACCCTGATGCCGCTCGTCACCCTAGTTATGAGCAGATGGAATTCTTCGGGAAGCACGAGAATCCTGGGGGAGCTGGACGAATAAAGTTCATCCCGACGAGATGGCTTCTGGATAACCATTATGTCTTCCAAGAGAAGATGTTGGTGGTTGTCGGCCTCAGCTGAAAGCACAGAGGCGGTAAGTACCTTCGGCTGGGGCCGAGGACTTTCTTTATTTGTTTTCTTACCGCTTTATTTGTTTTGTCTATTCCCTAAGGCTTACCTTCACTTTGCCCTTTCAGAGCTGAGCGAGGCCACCTCCTAAATTGACTACGATCGGGTGGGAGTGAACGATGAAAGGGTCATTCTCGACCGAGCTCCCGCGATCACTAGTCCAAAGGACCGTCCGCTGCATTTGCACTCAACGGGCCTTTAGATTGAGGCTGCTGCAGATTATCTGAAGCAGAAGCCTTGGTGGGAGAAGCAGGATCCTTTGAGGCCTTTGTTACCCGAAGAAGTGCAAGCCGCTCAAACTGCCGCGGACGTGACCAGAGCGATTAACTCCCTAGAAAGGGGTGAAGGGACTTCTGGTGCTGCTGAGGCGCAGCCGAAGACTTTGGTAAGGCCTTCAGCACTTTGCTGTTTGTTGTTTTTTTTTTTTTTTTTTTGCTGATCCCTTCTTGCTCCCCCACTTCTGCAGTATGAGGAAGAGGGCAGAAGGAGAGATGATCTTTCGGAATTTGAGTCTTCGGATTTTGACGACATGGATGATCAACCTCTAAAGCAGAGGAAGAGAAGAAGGACGGGCCCAGCTGTAGTGGGTCCGGGAGACTTTACGCTAAGGCCGATGCCTGGCGTCGTAATAAGGGAGCCTGTCGCTGGCCGAGGCAGGGTTCCCAGAGGTACGGAGGGTCCTCCGCCCCCTACCTAGCCACCACCATCGGTTCCGTCACCGCCGAGGACCCCTCCACCACCTCCTCCCACTGACATGGAGGTGGATCAGAGAACTCCTGACCCAAAGGAGGGGGTTCCTGAGGTGGTTTCAAACAAGGGGAGCGCTACTGAGCTCCCTGATAGTGAAGTTGTCAAAGCAGCCGAGGAGGTGGCTGCTGCTGAGGACGAGGCCCCTAGGATCTTTACTGCTGAAATCCAACAAGAGGTTGACGCTTTGACAAGTCAACCTGATGGGGAGGCTGAAGGGGTCCAAACTGAAGGGGACCATGCTGCAGGAGGGGCAACGACTGAGCCCGAAAAAGCCGACGAAGCTCCAATAACTTCGTTCCCCTCTTTCAAATCCTTTCATTCCGGGGACATGGGGTTTTCAGCCAAGAAGTGCTCCATCCCAGCCGGCGCTAGGGCCAAAATCTGGGGGAAACACGGAGAAAGCGTTGAGGCTTACTTCGGCGGTTGCTTCGACTTGTCTGAAATGGAGCAGGTCCGAGAGTGGTCTGTTCGGGCAACCGCTGGAATTGCCGAGCCTGGTCCCTCAGTACCAGATCCCGCGCGAGACAACCAGAGGCTGTTGATGCAGGTATGTGAAAATGTTTTGCACCTTCAGCAATTCCAGCTTGCTTCATTTACTTATAATTTTATTTACCTTGAATTGAACCCCGATTCTGCAGGTTGTCTACAATCATACTCTGACCAGTGAGATGATTGATGCGCTTCAAGAGAGAGTAGACATCGCTGAAACGGAGGGAAAACTCGCTCAGCTGAAGTAGGAAAGCGCTGAGCATAAGGCCAAGGTTGTGATTGACTCCTTCAACACTTTTTGTGATGAAATGGAGAAAGATGTCCTGCCCCAGATGGATGAGGGAGAGGCCTTTCTCAAAGCGTTCGGCGCGGTTGACGTCCAAAGCCTTAAAACCAAGATCCAGCATAAAATTGACGCTGAGGTTCAATCTCAAGTGCTAGCCCGAGAAGAAATAGCTCGGCAGAAGATCAAGATCTTGGAGGCTGATGCCAACCGTCATCGCCAAGCCTTTGAAAGCGGGGAGAACGAGCTGATCGAGGCCGGAGTCCAGCTGGAGTCTCAAAGGCAGAGCATCACCAGCCTGGAGGTTCAGCTGAAGGATAAGGAGGTCGAGCTATCCCAGGTCCAGGGTAAGGCTGAATAGACAGAGCAACGGCTTGCTGATGCCGAGGCTAAGTTGAAGGAGCAGCAGGAGTCTTCCCAGAAGGAGTATTCGACCGCCTACCTCAACGGTTATGGGGTGGCTCGAAGGCTGGCTCTCCATGCTTCCCCTGACCAGGATTGGTATCAATGCAAAATCTGGGCTGAAGACCCCCAAGATCCTCATATGCATAAAGCCAGCCAGGCCGAGGTCGATCTGCTGGCCCGTCTCAAAGCTGAGGACGCTGCGGCCGAGGAGGCTGAGAGGAAGGAAGCTGAGGCCCAAGCTAAAGTTCAACCTGCTTCTTTTACAGCTGGAGCTACGGCTGTACACCAGTCCAAAACCGGACCAGACCTGACCCGAACCTGAATCCTTGATTTTTAAAGACCGGAGACCGGACCTGAATTAACAAGTCTGGTTCCGGTCCAGACCTGAAAAATCAGGTCCGGTCCGGGTTTGGACCTGAATAGACCTGATTATTATTATTTTTTGATTTTTTTAAATAATATGAAAGTGATGACCTGTTTGGACCTGTTTAGAACTGTTTGGACCTGTTTGGACCTATTTAGACTTGATTGGACCTGTTTAGACCTGTTATGGACCTGTTTGGACTTGTTTATGTACCTATTTAGACTTATTAAATAAAAAAGTAGTTTTATCGGTTTCAGGTCCGGACCTGAAATTTCCGGGTTTTACCCGGACCGGAACTGAAACCCGGAATGCTCGAATTTCAAGGACCGGGAACGGACTTGAATTTGTAGGTCCGGATCAGGTCCGGTCCCAACAGGTCCGGTTCAGGTCGGTTTTCAGGTCTGGGCTAGTTTTTGTACACCCCTAGCTGGAGCTGATGCCGCTCTGGACTCCAACATTGCTGGGAGGCCTGACCCTTCAGCTGAAGCTTAGTGACTCGGGCTGTTGTCTTCAGAATCTTGCGGATCAATGTGCTCTTAAAATGACAGATGCCGATTCTAAATTTTTTTGCCTTTGTTTTTGCTTCAGCTTGCCTTAGTGTACAAACCATTTATTTTTGCCTTGTACGCATTTCGGTAGCTGTTATTTTCCATTGTGGGCGGCTGCCGATATTTTCTTTCTAAGTACCCAAACACTTATGTTTGTAGCTCGTAATCCGAGCATAATTTCCATCTATGAATTTGATGCTTTCCTCTTATTGCCTTGCTTTGAACTTGCATGCTTGCATATCTGAATTTTTAAATTCTGATGATTTGATTTTGATTTTTTGCGCAAATTGCTAAGTAAAAAGCTTTGGCTTAAAGGTTTCAGCTGAGGTAGTCTGCACTTGTAGTGCTTCTTGTCCCCCCCAGAGATTTGAAGACTTGATCTTTAGATTTCTGAGATTGCTTTTCGCTACATTGTTTATTTTCTATCAGTTGTGCTATTGCTCTTGATTTTGTGTCTATCTGAAAAAGAATGGATATCTCAAACATAAGGCCAACTGAAGGCAGTGTTTCAAATAATGGCTTTCTGGGATACAAGGCTTAGTTAAGGCAATATCCCAGATTTTTCCATGGACTCATTGCCTTGTAGAACAAGTCTTATTGAGGTTTTCACCTCAGCTGATCTGAAAGACCGGTGTTCTTTAAAAAGGCGAGTTTATCGGCAATCCGAAACCTGGCGCTCTGTGGGCGAAGGTTTCGAACAGGGCCGAAGGAAACCCTCGAAGAGTAGATAAAATTAAGAAAAAAATGAAAGAGTAAAGATTGGAAATGTTTGTAGAAAAAAGTGGCTCGGAGGCCTTTCATTAATAATTCAGAATGTACTTACAAAGATTATTTTGCTCCGAAGGGTTTAAACATGATATTTCTTAAGTACATCCGCATTCCAATGATTTTTCAGCTCAGTTCCATCCAACTGCTGAAGTCGGTATGTTCCCGGCTGAAGTTCATCGTAGATTTCATAGGGTCCCTCCCAAGCAGCTGAGAGTTTCCCATGAATTTGGCTTTTCTGGACTGCAGCAGCATTCCGAAGGACGAGGTCTCCTATTTTGAGAGGCCTTTGAAGGATTTATGTCTTCGTCGTGTGCAATTACTAGATATGTAATTGGATCAAATTATGGAGATAATTAAGTCCGGACATTTGGGTCGTCGTTTTGCCATAGCTAGAGGTACTTACGATCTTTGGGCTAGTAAAATAGGTCAAAGCCCAATTGGACGGATCCTATAAGGTCACACAAAGGGGCTAGATCGAGCATTAGAGGACGAGACCCATCTTGGGCCTCATCACTCTAGGTGGCCGGCCATGTAGGGGAATTAAGAGGCTTTTGGGCTTTGTGCACTAGTCTAATTATAATGAGATTATAAATAGACTAGGTGCCTAGGTTTTCAAGTAAGTAAGTTTACTGATCTTTTGATCAAACCCGGATTAGCAAACACGAAACCCAACCCCTCTCATATTCCTCTCTCTCACGGCTCTCTCCTCCTCCCCGACGCACGGTGGTGTCTCGTGGTGGTGGTGGTTCGTGCGGTGGTCGGTTGTCCGAAAAGGTGGTGATCGCAGTTTTCCTCAATCACTCGACCAATCTAGTATTGGTGTCGTTCGAATCTCGTGGACTAAGTAGAGGAGCAACACTTGGGGCTCTATTCTCTCCTTGATTTGCCTGTCGAATAGCTTCGTGGAATTCACGCTTCAAAGGTATGATTATGTGTCTTGTGTGTTATGCATGTGGTTCTTGGGATTAGGTACTTTATTGAATATGATTCATGTTATTTCCGCTGCGTAGTACCTATAAACTCCTAACGTGGTATCAGTTAGCCTCTTGCATGAACGCGCTAGATCATAATAATACGATTATTTGATGTCCACGTTAATTTTATAATCAATTAAGAGGGAGAAATTAATTTAATTATGGTTCGATTATTATATTTAATATGATTAAACTTTTGGAATCGATTAAATGCGATTTAATTATGCTCAAATAGCCATGAAGAGGACCAAATTATGCCCTAAAATTGTTCGAAAATTTCGAACCCTAACCCTAATTTATTCGAAAATTCGAACCTTATTAGCCTTAAAATTATGAATTTTGATGCTTATTTTGGTTGATTACGTTTTAAATTTGTTTCATAATTTTAATTGGATTGATTTATGCATAAAAATGTTTTATGTATGACATAGATTTAATTTTAAAAGTTAAAATTTAATTGGAATTAATTTTATGATAAACCCTAATTTTAAAAGTTGAATATGATTTAATTTTAATCTTATGGACTGATTTAATTTAATTAAGATAAATGTTATTTTAATTAAATATAAAAACACAAAAAAAAAATTATTTTGGTCGCCAACCGCGGTTGGGTGGCGCAGCCACGGCGGCTGCCGACCAGGTGGTCAGTCCAGAGGGAGGGGGGGAGCGTGGCGGTCCTAGGTGGCTGTGGGCAGCAGCGTGCAACCGTTGCACGGCTGCTGCCGCGGCTGCCAGCGCCGGGGTGCTGCTGCCTTGCGCGGCAGTGGCTGCTGCAAGGCAGGCAGCCACCGTGGCTAGCCTTGGCTGGCCACGCACGATGGCCTGCAACCCCGGTAGAAGCAGCTGCCACGCTGTTGCCTTTTGCGGCAGTGGCTGCTGTCACGGCAACCAGCCATCGTGGCTAGCTTCGGCTAGCCAACCACGGTGGCTGGCGTTGGTGGTTGCGGAAATTTCAAAAAAAAAAAATTCTGTTTTGAAAAATTTATTTCAGGATAATTATGAATTAGTTTGGGATAAAATCAGTTTATTTTGGATAAGTTAAAATATTTTGAAAATATGATCTTTTATTTTTAAAGATAAAATTGGTTTTATTTGGATAAGATCTTTTATTTTAGG